AGGCAGAGCGGTTTTGATTGTGTTTCTCCTCATGGTACAGAGTGCTGATGGAGGCTGCCTGCAGCTGGTGAGAAAATGCCTGTTTTCTCAAAGGACAGCTCTTGGCTGTGCAGTGAAAAGATGGCAATTTTCTTTCTGGGATTGAAGTGGGCTCTTCTAAGGCTGCTGATAATGCACTTAAAAGGAATGTGTGTGCTGGCGGTTCTCTTTAAGGAGCACTTTGTTGTCATTCTTCTGCCTTTGTTTTACACCTGGGCCCTGATCCAGCTCTGAGGAATGCTATTTATTTTAAAACATTCTACATTCTGTTTCTGCTACCTGTGACAATCCCAGGTGGCTCACAGTTTCATAAAAGAAGAGCAGTATTGCAGCATAACACCCAGCAGAAGCAGTGAATGAAAACAGTTAAAATTGCAGATGCCCCAAGAATTGTAAAAGCATCAGAAAAGAATCTGGGAGTAGCAACTTGAATTTTATGGGAGGGAAAACACTCATTAAAATTTAGATACATGTTAACTGGTGGCTCTGGACTGGGATGTATAGCCCTATGTATATCAAAGGAAGCATCCAAGGCAAGCTCAATGGAGCTCAGATGGCCATCAGAACATGCCTACAAACACAGTGGTGCCTCGCAAGACGATTGCCTCATGGGATGATTAATCCACAAGACGATTAGTTTTTGTGATCGCTCTTGCACTTCACAAGACGATGGTTTCCTATGGACGATTTTCACAAGACGATGATTTTTCCCCATTGGAATGCATTAAATAGATTTCAATGCATTTCAGTGGGGGGTTTTGCAAGATGATGTTTTCTGTGGATGATTTTTGCAAAATTACTATTTCCCCATTGGAATGCATTAAATAGATTTCAGTGCATTCTAATGGGGAACCGCATTTCACAACACGATGTTTTCGCAAGGCAGCGATTTTCATGGAACGAATTAACATCGTCTTGTGAAGCACCTCTATATGTACATTGATTAACATCGTCTTGCGAAGCACCACTGTATGTACATTGGGTAAGTAAATGGTAGACTCATCCTAGCTATTCCTAGTTAAGGTTCGGCCCAAAATAGCAATAGAGGTATGGAACATATGATCTACAATTAAATTGCAAATGGCACTATAAATATTATTGAAGGCCCATGATGCACAATTATACACATGTTGAATGTGGTGGGCTACATTGGTTCATTGTTAAGGCTCATGTGCATATGGTAGTTGTACATAATAGACACAAGTCACACGTAGATGGCTATTGCAGATTTCAACTGATGGATCATATACAATTCCCACTCAGCCCTATGCATATTTGTTGTTATGTGCCATCGACTAAACGACTAAATGATGGTTACCTCCCCTCCAACTTATGACAATGCTATGGATGTGCAATCTCTCCACAACAGTCCAGCTTAGCTCTTGTAAACTCAAGGCTGTGGTTTCCTTTATATAGTCAATCCATCTCATGTTTGGTCTTCTTTACCCGCTACCTTCAACTTCTCCTTATATAATTTTTTTTCCCGAACAGTCCAGCTTAGCTCTTGTAAACTCAAGGCTGTGGTTTCCTTTATATAGTCAATCCATCTCATGTTTGTTCTTCTTTACCCGCTACCTTCGACTTCTCCTTATATAATTTTTTTTTCCAAGAGAAACTTGCCTTTTTATGATATGCCCAAAGCCTTGTTTCATCATTTTTACCTCCAGAGGTAGTAGAGACCTGATTTGATCTAGGACCCACTTGTTCATTTTCTGGCAGTCCAGATATCCATAAAGTTCTCCCTCAGCAACATATTTCAAATGGATCAGTTTTTTAACTCCTGAGTAAACATACATCATAAAAAACCCAATGATGCACGTTTAATCAGAAGTTTGTTTATTTACTAAATTTATTTCTGTCATTTATGTATATACTGCCCCATTAGGACACAGCACTATTCTGGGCAGAATATGTATTAAAACATCAAAAAGACTCAATTGAACAAAAATAAAAACAGCCAAGTACAACAGAATAAGCCAACACTGAAATGGTGTTGAGAATCTGAATGACCAGACAGGGGCAAATGACTTCAAAAGAGGCTGCCCTTGAAAGCTTCTCAAAAGAGATGTGTTTTCAACAGCCAAACCTGACTTAATTCCCCCTGTGAGGTTATGTGTCTTTACGTTGGAACTGACTTATAGTGACCTAATAGGGCTTTCAAGGTAGGAAAGATATTTAAGGAGTGGTTTTACCAGTTCCGATCCCCCAGTGACCTTCCATGGCCATGTGAGGATTTGAATTCTATCAACTGCAGCGCAGTGAGATATTTAGGGAGTGGTTTTACCAGTTCCGAACCTCCAGTGACATTCCACGGCAATGTGGGGATTTGAATTCTGATCTCCAGGATCTCAATTCATCATTCTATCCACTGCAGCACAGTAGGTATCCCTCTGTGATAGATGATTCTTACTTTCAGATCAATCTACATAGGATTATACCTTTATTTTATAATGTAAATGAGAAATCTCTAGCCTAGTGTGTGTGCCATATTCTGTTCTTCAGTGTCAAAGCTAAGGCCCCTCCCTGAAGTACTGATGAAAAAAAGCCAATGAAAGGAAAAACTAGCTGCATTGAGACCCTCTGTTTTTGGATGCCTGGACTACTCTGAGGTGATAGTTTCTGAAGGTTCCATTTGCCTTTCACCATACCCACTATGGAAGAGCTGTCATCATGAACATCATTTGATTTTCCTGTGGTATTAGAAAAAAAAAACACAACCAAAAAAGGCATACAAAACAGAACCACATCATCCTGAGTGGAAACATTATTTTAAAAAAAACCCAAGTGCTAATAATTGTTCCGTGGGTTTTTGTATGAAAAAAAAGAACACCAAACTGCAAAATGTTAATACAATATGTTGTGTTTAGCCTAAATACTATAGAACATTAGGAAAAAAAGGTTGCAGCAGGGGTTATTATAGGCACTGTACTTACAGAGTTAGGGGCAATTCATGAATCAAAAGAGGAAATCATCCCAAAATTTCTGGGTGGGGTGTCCCCTCCATTCTAGCATTTTCAAAATGTATTTTATTTGTAACTACCGTATGAGGGCTTGAAACTTGCATATTACATGAAAGGTGACATTTCAGCGATGTAACAGAATCATTAGACCTCCCACATGCTGTAAACTGCCCAGTAGTGCTATAGAGGCAATTATTGCTTACAAAATTGACTTGTACAATTGCATTTTCCATTCTTTCATGTTTCATTAATGGCTACCTATGGAGAAACGTTGAGAGCTAATTTAGAAAGCATATGCAGGTTAGACAGAACTCATAAATATTCTACAGTCACTTCTAAAAATGCAGAATGAAATTTCAGTTCTAGAATGCATTGGGAATATTAACAGGCATTCTCTGCTTTCATAATCTAAAACAGAAGAAGCAAATGTATACCCAGTAGACTGTGGGATGGAGCAGATTACTTTGTTAATGTATGAAAACATTTATTGGCTCTACCCTCCCACAAAAATTCCCAAGATGTTTAAAGTCAATGCATATAAAGACAACATATGCATTCATGATGTGTTCATGAATTTGGTTATATGAAAGACGGCAAACATAGGGAAAGGGATTTTTTTTTACAATATACTACAGCTCACAGATTAGCCCAGCCAGTACTGTCCCTAGCTGTGTGTTCTGTTAGTTGTAGTCCAACCAAAAACCAACAAAAGTCTTCATCCCATCTCTAGAAAAGGGAACTGGTTTGTGAAGTTTATCCAAGACTTTATACTGTGGACTAAAATTCTAATTTTATTAGAATTCTTAAGACATGGCTGCTGCCCAGAAATTGAGCGTCTTGGATATGAGCATCCTGGAATGGAAGACTGGTATTCCATTGTTTAGACATTATTTTTGAAGGTGTGAGTTTGTGTGTATGTACATGCATATGTGTGAGAGTGAGTTTTCCCTCTGAAGTCTAAAATTACAAATATCTGCATTTTAGCAGGGAGAATTTGGCAAGTGTTACTCTCACACAGAATGTTTCAATGTGATCTCACTATCAGGCTTAGGGAGGGAGGTCTGGCATTGAAATTCTTTCTTAGCTATGCATGTAAACTGAAAATTGTTACATGATATGTTGTCACCTGCCCAGAGTAGTCTAGATGGTGGGCTATAAATGTAATAAATGAATAAATAAATGAATAAACGAACGAATGAATGAATGAATGAATGTATTTATTTATTTATTTATTTATTTAGCACAAAACCAAAGTTTGGAAATAAAACAGTAATTTGTCACTGTGATATGTATTTGTTTCAATTCCCAGTGTTAATTACCAGTTTGGTAATAGGTTTAAACCTCTAAATTATTTTTTATTGAAAGTAACTAAAATAGTTTCTGTTTTGTTGTTTAAAAATCAGAATGCTGCAAATCACTGGCTGATGGTACAGAACATAACAAAGCAGAGAGGTTACTTGTAACTTGAAACTTTTAACAGCAACATGGGTTATATTACTGGATGTTACTGGATGCTGGCTTTTTATTTTTCTGTGTGTTTTAAAAGTTTAAAAATGTTTTTAATTATCATTGCATAATGAATTAATTGTTTTTAATTATTCTATTTTTAATTCTTTTTCAACCTTGTAGTTTATTATGCTTTTAGTGTAATTTGTTTTAGCATTGTGAGCCACCTTGATCCTGTATCTGGGGGAAAGGTGGCCTGCAAATGCAACAAATAAATGGATAAATGTAGAAATAACAGGAATAGTTGCCACAGTACTGCAAAAAGGGTAAAGTTATCTTTCCTTCCTTGTAGTAAAATCGTAACATAACCAAGAATAAATTAATCACATGTAAACTATTATTTGTAAATAGTTGCTTCCAGACTCTTCAGGAAACCTGCCATCCAAGGTTTTATACACATTGTCCCAAGTGCCTTGGAAAGAACAACAATTTAGAAATGTAATTAATTAAATCAATCCATGTTAACTGCATTTTCGTTTTGATGTTCTCTCCCAGGACAGTTTTCCAGCTCGCTTTGGAGGCATTCATTTTGTCAATCAGCCGTGGTACATCCATGCCCTTTATACTGTCATACGGCCCTTTTTAAAGGAGAAGACAAGAAAAAGGGTATTTCTCTCTACTTTATTTTCATGGGTTTACAAATATATTATCTGGGGCGAACTGATTTCTTTGGAAAATAAGAAATAAAATAAGAAATATATATATTTCCAATGTGTTAACATGAATTTCTGTATGAAACACATATTTATACTATATATTTGCTTTATCATGTATGATAAAGTATTTAAGGACATCTTCTGATATTTTAATGTGGTGAATCATGATTTCCAAGATTTGGAGGGTGCTTTGCAAAATTGTAGGAGTATATGATACCCACTTAAATAGAATTTTTTCAAAACTGAATAACACATGTGAATGAATTTTATGCAACAAATAAACAGTGATAGTCTTTAGTAATTTTCAGAGTTAGCTGTGTTAGCCTGTGTTAGCCAATATGTATCATAAAATAGTGGGGTGTAATTTTCAGAGTTAGCTGTGTTAGCCTGCTTCAATATGTATCATAAAATAGTGGGGGGATGCTTAGGCTGTGGTGGCGTTCAGACTTACAACAGTATGAACTTTTGTGGATTACAGTCCTGAAGAGGTAATTATAACCCACAAAAATTCACTCAAAAACAAATGTGTTAGTTTTAAAGGAAACAGGTTTTAGAATCCCAATAACAATATAATGGTGGGTAAACAAAACTGACCGTCTGTTCCTTCATCAGCAGAAACTGTTTCTAGTATTCAAAGCTTTGCAGTGCTTTTAAAAAATGCTCTGAATCTAGTTTAAATATGAAAGTAGGTCAGTCAGAATGAAAGTAGAAGACATGAGCTCTTGGGTATCTTACATGCCGGCTGTTAACCTGTTCCTTGAATTAAATCACATAATAAGGTTATAAATAGCCAATATTAGTAGCAAAGTGTTTTATTTATTTGTTTAATTTATTTATTTGATTTGTATCCCGCCCATCTGGTCTTTATGACCACTCTAGGTGGCTTCCAATATAACATAAAAACAATAAAATAGCACAAGAATATTACATAAGACATGCAATAACAAATTACAATACAAAAATAGAGTAAGTAATAAAGAAAGAAAGAATAAAAGAAAAATCAAGTATTGACAGGAGGGAAGGCCTGAATATACATCCATGTTTTTAATTGGCTTTTCAAGGTACCCAGCGTAGGGGCCGCACGACTCTCCAGAGGGAGGTTGTTCCAGAGGCGAGGAGCCACCGCCGAGAAGGCCCGATTTCGTGTCTTTTCCTTCCGGGCCTCCCTCGGCGTCAGGCTCCTCAGCACTTTTGGATGTGCTTCTAGCAACCCATTCATGGTTCAACATTTGTATTTTGTACCAATTCCTACTTCAAAATGTCATCAAATGGTGATCAGCATTTAGGCCACACCAGGACAGGTAAGCGGAAATTGCCAGAGAATGACTGGTTCCTCCTGACTTCACAGCAGTCCACAATCCAACTGCTGATTTTTTCCTGGCAGTCTATAATGGAGATGTAACAAGAAATCTTATCCATTGTTTCAGCAGAGAAATGTGGTTGAATTCTATTGTGCCAATTGCTAACTTGTGTTTCCCGTGTTCATTGCACTCTCATCAAACTAGTGTGGCAGAATCTGTGGAACTGAAGCTGATCAAAATGTGGGAAAGCATGCCAGTGGACAAACAAGCAGACAGACAGACACCCCACACATACATGCATGTGCACACGTGCGCCATTGTTTCAGCAGAGAAATGTGGTTGAATTCTATTGTGCCAATTGCTAACTTGTGTTTCCTGTGTTCATTGCACTCTCATCAAACTAGTGTGGCAGAATCTGTGGAACTGAAGCTGATCAAAATGTGGGAAAGCATGCCAGTGGACAAACAAGCAGACAGACAGACACCCCACACATACATGCATGTGCACACATGTGCGTGCACGCGCACACACGCACACACAGACACTTTTCTCTGCCTCCTTTACAAGAACAGCCCCAAGCATCCTATTTGTAAGCTGTACTTAAAATACAGGACAGTTTCAAAAGCTGCTTGAAGCAGAGAGCTAAGTGGGTTTGGTATGTCGGGAAGGAAATAAAAGCAAGTTCCACTGTAGATGGTGAAGCCCTCCAGGATACTTGAAAAGGCACACTAGATCATAGCCACTGACAGCTTGTAGAAGCAAATGGTGAGAAGTGGGGGAATTATCAGGCACTGTTATAGTCATAAGGACTGGAATTTGATGAAGGAAGAACATATAATTTCCATGACACATAACATAGCACCCACTTAACAGCATATTTCAAAGAGATCCTGCTGGGATAAAGTGGTTTTTCTTTTCTTTTCTGAAAAACAAAGATGCTGCATTCTCCAGTGTGTGCTTGTTTTATTCTGCCCCTCCCTCTCTCCATCTTAAAGAATAAAATTAAAATGCAGTGTCTTTCAGTCATATGCATCATTTTTTTAATTTAACTCTTTTAGTCTGGAAGATCTTTTTTAGACTTCAAGATGCTTATGAAACTATCATGGCTCATTCTTCTTGAATTAAGGGCACATACTGAAAGTGCTACCTTGTTGGATATATTTACATTCCATTTCCAGCTTTCAGGACAAAGCTGTGTGTATTCTGGGAGGAGTTGTACTGCAAAACTCTGTGGATCTTAAAATTTTATCCCATAGGTTGTATCATTTCTGCATGGACGTCTCTTTGCAGCATCCTACTTGCACACACTGTATCTGCCTAAGTGAATATCCCCTACATTGCAATTTCCATCTGCACCCCCACATTCCATGTCTTGCCTGAGAATCTCCATCATCAGTCACGAGAGAGGATTTGCAGGGAAGGGTCCACAAATTACACTTTGGCCCAAATCTTGTATAGTTGTGTCACTATAACACGGTCTGTCCACAAATTACACTTTGGCCCAAATCTTCTTGTATAGTTGTGTCACTATAACACGCTCCAACTTTTGAAGAAAAATGACCTTCAGCTAAGAAATAATTATAGCACTGTCTGAGTGCTATAATTACGTTGGAGCAGTTTGCCTCCAAAGGCTAAGAAATAATTATAGCACTGTCTGAGTTGTGGGACTCAGCATGCAACTTATAATACACACATTACATTGGAGCAATTTGCCTCGAAAAGTTACCCTATTTGCATAGTTAAGCAAGAGGATTTTGGACTTTGTTTTTCTTCTTACATACTGCCTTAAAAATGATGCTGTGCAAGTTAAAAGCAACTGAGTTGCTAGAATATTTGTTACATGTGGAGAATCTTTTATGTCATGGATGATGATAATGTGTCTATTCGTCATCTAACTGGGTTTCCAAATTAAATATGCTTCTTGATCCATCTTTTTTAAAAAACAGATATTTCTTCATGGAAATAACCTCAACAGCCTGCACCAGTTGATCCATCCTGAGATTCTGCCTTCTGAATTTGGAGGAATGCTACCACCTTATGATATGGGCACGTGGGCAAGAACACTGCTAGATCATGAGTATGATGATGACAGTGAATACAGTGTGGACTCCTACAACACTTCTGCAAAAGACGTTGAGAAGGATCTGTCTCCCAAATCCATGAAGAGGTAAGTTAGTTAGGCCTTTTGAAGGAGAAACCTGAGACTCTCTTCCAGACAGCATGCCTGTTGCTGAGGTTTCGACCAGTGTAGTATAGTGGTTAGCAGGAATGGGGACTCTAGTCGCAGAACTCACTATCAAGTCAGACTTAAGTTGTACTAGTGACTCAACTCAGACTCAGTTCAGGGTTTCCCCCCCCTATGAAGAGGTAAGTTAGTTAGGCCTTTTGAAGGAGAAACCTGAGACTCTCTTCCAGACAGCATGCCTGTTGCTGAGGTTTCGACCAGTGTAGTATAGTGGTTAGCAGGAATGGGGACTCTAGTCGCAGAACTCACTATCAAGTCAGACTAAAGTTGTACTAGTGACTCAACTCAGACTCAGTTCAGGGTTCCCCCCCCCAAAGACTCAGACTTGACTCACAACACAGAACCCACCCACCTCAATTTTTTTCCTGAGGGGAAAAAAGCTTATTTTTAATAGGGACTCAGACTTGATGCTTATGACTTCGGACTTGATACCAAATATTCAAACTTGGACCTAAAGACTTGTCAACATTGCTGGTGGTTAGAGGCTTAGATTGAGATCTGGGATATCCATACCAAGATCTTGTTGGGTCTTTGTGTGAATGGAAAAAGCCTGTCAACAGATCTCAGAGGAGGCAGTTTCCTCCTTCCCCATGCAGTCCCTGGATGCCTGCTACAGGGCCTTCTTCTTCTATCACTCCCCCTCCCGCTTTCTGTGGCACTCCAACCTCTGTTCTGCAGGGTTTCCTATGAGAAGAACCCATGCTGTTATTCATGTTTTCATGAAGGACACAAGTGCATTCCCCCTTTTTGACAATGCACTAGAAACACAAGATACACTGGATTGATTGAAACAGGTAGATACGAGCAAGCCCTGATTGCTTTCCCAGTTTGCCAGACTTTGACACTTGATGTATTGTCATCCGAATGAGGAAGATTACAAAGTGCTCATCTCTATAAATTTAGAAGTGAGGTAAGCAGGTTAAGCATTTTTGCTGGACAGGGCGATATTTCTGTGTTGAGTTCCAAACCTACCCAATTCTGCATTTCAGATGTAAAATTGCTTTTCAGTATACATCTTTATAATAGGAATAACCACATGGCTCCGCAATGGCTGAAATTTCTTTCTGAATTAGTAAGGGAAAAGCATAAACAAACTTAACCATATTTTTGCAACATTAGCTTTGAAAGTGTGTTCCGTTCAGGGCACGTTGGCTGAGAGATTCTGGCAGCTAGTCTCAAAAAACAATTTCCCCAAACTTTTTGTTTGTTTGTTTACTTGAGCTTTGCTCCGGGTCCAACCTGGGATTGCAGTTCCTTTATATCATTGGAAATCATTTTGCCATTCAGTTTAGTCTGAGACTGGTTCAGAGGATCCTACTAGCACCGAATAGCATTTCAATCCATTTTTCCAGACCACATCTTGTGACCCATTTGCCTTATCCTGCTTTTGTTATCACCATTGTGAAGTTCTGAATTACAATCCAGTGGAGACCTTGAAATGACTTGTTTCATATTTTAAGTGATCTCACCTTTTTTTGGTTCCTTAGCCGTCATCCAGTTAAACTCCAAAAGCTGATGAATGCCTTGGCTGGAACTATCTTTCTCCATGGCTTTGGAGAACATGTTCAGGGGGTGCAAGTTAGCACTTTTGAGAAATTAAAATAGGTCACCTAGGGAGCATGTGGCACCAGAGTCAAAACACTATCAAAAAGATGTTATATTGGCGATATTCCATTGCCAGCAGCTTGTGTCTGGCATGTGTTTTTTACAGAATCCAGACTGCTTTCCTCCAAGTAACATATTTTCACCTTATTGCTAGTGCGGATGAATGGTAATACTTCTTTGCCTTCAATGGTGACATGTGTTTTTCAGAAGAGCCATTGAATTTAAGTAGAATTTTAAAAATCTGAAAATGGTGATACGTTTCTACACTCAGTATTTAGCACTGGGACTGCATGATACCCTTTGCCTCATCTCATGGGAACAGGTTAGGCTTCTACAAGAGTTATGTTTGCAGAAAGGGAAAAAAGGTGTTAAGTTTACCTTTTCAGGCTGCATTCACTGCTGGCTCCAGTGCTATCCAATGTGGGTATATGGCCCCTGATGTAATGTAGCCATTTACATAAAAAGCTGCTCACCACTGTCTTATATCCAGATTTATACAGAGTCACATTGTCCCCTTCCTGGCTCCAGTGCTATCCAATGTGGGTATACGGCCCCTGATGAAATGTAGCCATTTGCATAAAAAGCTGCTCACCGCTGTCTTACTGTATATCCAGATTTATACAGATTCACATTGTCCCCTTTGGTAACTTCCTCCAATCCTGCATCCTTATCTTTGGACTGTTTTTCCATTAATGTTACTTTGTTTGCTGAGGACATCTCCGTATGTCTACTAAACACTTCTCCACAGACAGAATAGTCCTTTCCATTAATGTTACTTTGTTTGCTGAGGACATCTCCGTATGTCTACTAAACACTTCTCCATAGACAGAATAGTACATCCAAAAGTCAACCTATTGCTTTGGTTACTGATGTTAGTCTAAATCCATTAGTCCTAACTAGAATAGGACCAATGAATGGAATCAAGTCAACTTAAATCCAATTATTAGTCCTAACTAGAATAAGACCAATGAATGGAATCAAGTCAACACTAATCTCTTCTTAATTTAGTGGATCTATTCTGGAATGCTGGCTCAGTAGTTCAGCAAGTTGCATACTTGGCTTAGAGCCAGAGGTTGAGAGTTTGGTTCCCCACTCTGCCTACTGGGAGAGGAATCAGTTTGTATGGCCATGGGCAAGTTACATGGCCCTGGATGGCCCCCAGAATAGGGAATGTTAAATAAGTTTTGAATACTTATATCTACAAAACCCTGAGAAGGGTCAGCATAAGTCAGAATCAACTTGATTACACACAATTATTATTATCATATAATACCTGGGACTAATAATAATAATAATTGTGTCGTCAGGTCAATTCCAATTTATGGTGATTCTTTCCAGGGTTTTCTAGGAATGGAATCCCCAAAAGTAGATTACCATTCCCTTCTTCTGGGTATGCCCTAACACTGTGCAGCTCACCTGTGTTACACAGGTTCCCAGGAAGCACATTAGGGAACTCAACCTCTAGTTCCACTGCCAGATATTTAACTCACTGGGCTATCCACCCAGCCGTAGTTGGGATTAATTGCTGGATTTAGCCCACTGTTTAATTGAGCCATATTATTCGTTTCTACTTCACAAGTTGTGTTACATCAACTTATTTAGGACGTCTGCACGCAGCTGGTGTTTCTGACCTTAATTTAAGTACAAGTTGTGTTACATCAACTTATTTAGGATGTCTGCACGCAGCTGGTGTTTCGGACCTTAATTTAAGTACAGGCTGCTGTCCTCTGAAGATGCCCGCCACAGAGACTGGCGAAACGTCAGGAAGAACAACCTTCAGAACACGGCCAAAGAGCCCGAAAAACCCACAACAACCATTAATTTAAGCTGTTTTTAACCCTGCCTTCAAAGTGGGTAGATGAGACATTAATTTGAAAGAGAGTTATGTTATTGACCATGAGCAAGCCAAAGGACATCTCTGTATGTCATACATTGTTCTTCCATGGAGAAAGTAGTTATGCAAATCTCTAGCGAATGGCTCAGTTTCATCGAAAGAAAAAAGCAAGCGACCTATAAATAATCCTCCAAAAGAATTGGTTGAATCATCCCAGAATTTAGTTTAAGTAGACAGGGTTTGTTACCTTAAGTTAGCATATTGGGATGAACTAACATGGACATAAAAAAGCTGTAGAAATGCCCACCACATACTTATAAGGTTAGGCCAGCATTTGTAAGGCACCACGCTGTCCACCATAGACTAAATCAAGGGTAGACCCCTTGAATCAAGAAGACTTGTGCAATTGTTGACTTAATAGTTCAATAGCTCTACTTAAATGGCATTAAATTTTTTAAAAAAAACACTGAAACCTATTCTCGTTTTTCTTTGGATGATCCATGTCAGGCACTTGTTTTTAATACTTTTTCAGGTCTCAGTCAGTTGTGGACCCTGGAGTGTTAAAGCGCATGGATAAAAATGAAGAGGAAAACATGCAGCCCTTGCTTTCACTGGATTAACAGCGCTTGTTCATCGAACATAAATTGGGGTGGAAAAGATTGCCTTTCTGCAACAAGGAAAGCTTTGGGAGAGAATGTACAAGATGGAGTCCTATTTTCCTGATAATGTAGCATAATGTAATGAGGCAGCAGGTTTTGCCAGTCATCCTGGAACATGGGTGCCCTGGGCTGGAAAACAGGGTGGGGAAGGGGGAATGAAAAGGAGAAAATATCAATAATATATTCTGTTAAGTGCCAACCTGTTTGTAAATAGCGTCTGTTCCTTCTCTTTGCATTTGTAAGTAATGGTAGAGATGTAGTACAGAAAAAAAATAGAGTGACAATTAAAATACACCAGTTGAATGCACTGTAAAAGAACAAACAGCATACAGGAAAAAAAAGATGTGGGTAACTTTCATCCTTTTTATACAAAGCCATATGACAGTATTCATATTGACTGCTTAATTTCTTTTCACACAGTTTTCAGTTGACAAGATCCTATAGTCATGATAACCTGTGTGGTATTTCCTGTTGTATAAGATTGTATTTCATAGATACGGCTACGATTCGTAACTGAAACTTGGATATGATTTGAATTTTTAAGATTTTTAAAAGAGGAAATTATAGGAACAGGAAGCTAAATCCTATTGTTTGGTATATTGTTTAGGAAGCATCTGATTTCTAATGTTTTCACACCAGTTCTGTGTTTTGAGAGCTTTTTGGGTCCTGGTCATAAATTGGGGCTTAGAATATCTGACATAAGTTGGATCCATGTTCCTCCTTGTGTGTAAAGTGCCCCATAAAACTCAGTATTCCTTTCATAATACTTAGCAGCAGGAGATTGACACATCATTTCTAAACCTTACAAAACTGAAGTCAGAATACATATCTATATATTTTTACCAGCCTCTGCTTATAAAGTGTCATTGTTAGATAAGTATATTTAATCAAGGATTTATAAAAGCAAAAATAAATCATGCCTATTTGGTGTGCTTAGAGTTTATTATAGATTATATATTAAGGCAATGTCATTGTTAACATAGTACAATATTTAATTACAACATCCTACTTTAATTAATCTAAGTATGTAATACAGTGCCATGTTGAGGCCATCTTTTGTTTCGTGGTGTAATAGTGTAGATAAAATATGTGCCATATTAGATCAAAAATACATTGTTACCTCAAAAAACCAACAATCCCCAAATTGGACTGAACGTGGTCAGCTGTAGTTTAGGAGATATGTTTTCATCTTTGACGTGTGCTGAAAATGCATGCGTATTTCTGCTGTACAACCAGACAAAAACGTGCCCCACAACTATCCAGACCTCTTTCATCAGAATTTAATATTTCATTTGGACAGGAATAGCAAAATCTCTTCCTTGCAAATGAAACAGACCCAAATTTTTATTACTAAACTTTTAACTACGGAGATCCTTGTGATACTTAGGAGCAGGCTTTATGCTGGACTGACAGAACATTTTCGGAAGTCTTCAATATAGAATGACTTGCTCGTTTTAATCACTTCCATACCATTTAGGGACCACTTATTCCTACATCATGAAAGAATTACATCTCACTCTGACTATACTGGCTCTCTGTTGTTCAGATGCATACTCTATCCAGATACCATTAGCATGTCTGGTATCATTAACTTCCACTGAAGGCTATTGTCACAATAATGTGAGGCTGCAATGTATTCTAGACCACTTTACATGCAGTTGAACTCTCAGTTTAAAAAGTCCTACTTGCCGTAATTTCTCATTATTTTCTCTACTTTTTGACAGTCATGTATTTTAGGCTGGCTACATGATTAAATCATTCATCATTCCAGTAGCATTGGGCTGTAACCAGGATTGCTGGCGTAGATGTCTGCTTGTGTAACATAATCAATCTCCCCTTCCTTTTCTCCCCCTATAGATCTCACACCTCTCTAGCTCTGCTCTGAAAGGTTTGTCAACTAGGGTCTAAATCGCCACTTGTAGAACTGCAACATTTTCCTCCACATCTGCAAGATAGTGAGAAGCTTCCTCTTAGTCTCAACTAGATGTTTCACTTTATGATAACAATTTTGTACTAATAACACAAATAGTGCAAAACTACAGTAGCTGCTGCCTTGTTGCATGATTTTTTTAATGGATGGGTTACTTGTTATCGTGTTAATCCATCAGACAGATTTTCTGTGCTTGATGTTTATATATGGGCTTAGCTTCAAGAAGGGAAAAGACTGGTTTAGCACAAAGATTTTTGAATTCACTGTTGAAACTTTGGGGATGGGGGGTGCTCATTGCTTCATTCTTGCTTGGAGGCAAAGAACCTCACAAGACTGAAAATGTTACTAAGCTGTCTCGTCATTCTGAGACAACATAAATGGTCATTAATAGGAAAATTAGTCAGTTTAGTGATTTTAGCTTTGCACTCAGAAAAGAGAAGGATGGAGAATCACTGAGATGTTTGCGACTTATTCTACCAGTGGTGTCCATTCTGCTTGTGGATGAGCACCATTGGCTACAGCTAGTGATGGGCACAAACCTCAGCCTGAGTGGGCGATCAGCCAAGGGGGCAAGGCAGGGAGGCATGTGCTCTTGCCAGAGACTGGTTGCACAGCTGAAGAGGGGGAGTACACACTGACTGGTAAGCAGAGGATCCAGCTGGGGAGTGGGGGAAGGCAACTGGCACAAATCTCTGAACCGAGGTGGGTGCCCATCTCTAGCTGCAGCATGTTGTAAATAAGAGGCTGTGTGTTGGGCAGGAAAACTTTCAGAATGGGGAACACTATTATCAGTGCATCAGTCTATAGGGATAAGTTATTGAGAAGTAATTGATAAGAGCTGGGCCAATCAAAGCCACTGGGTGCAATAACTCCCAGAAAAGGGTTGCATCTTGTATTAAAGCCATTTCACAGATTACCCAGCAACAAACGTAGGGTTGTCACTGACAGCCTGACTATAAAGTGGAAAAAATTTGTGGGAAATGCTATGGATTTGGAGTGGCTGATTCATGTTTTTCCCATTGATCACCTGATGCAACAGGAAATACAAACCAGCCTGGGATCCCACACCCCTAATGCATAATTTTTCCTCCCCACCAGAGGCCCTTCTACTTTTGAAGAAGTCAATTTTGCTTTGCAGAAAGGAAAGACCAACTGAGCACACACACATGCATGCCCATATGCACGTGTGTGCATGCATGTGTGTGTGTGCGCACACACACACACACACATACAGAGAGAGAGAGAGAGAGAGAGGTGCTTTAGCAAATAACCTTACCTCTTGCCTCACATGTGTACACACTCACAGGCGTGCACCCACCTACACAGCACTAGCACTCATCTCTCTCAGAAAAGCCTCTCTCCCAAAACATTTCAGAGTGGTGGTAGTTGTTTTTACTGCTTCTGGGGGAGGAGAGCTCCTGTTCATTTATTTACAGTTTAAAGAGCTCTCCCATTGAAAATATGAGGAAATGGGTTGTTAACGAAGGAAAAGTCTTCTTGAGGTAGTTTCTTTGAACTGCACCACCAACAGGTGTTTCAAAAGAACTTCAATAAAACTGCAATTAGAAGGCTTTTCCTCCTCTGCCTATGTGGCCATTTAAATTGAAGAGAACCAAATTCCCTGGTGTGACTTCACAGCAAGTTTCCTTGCTGTGTAGTCACACTGCAAGTGCATCTTTCCCAGGCAGCCACACAGTCAGTCTAGGTTCTCTAGTAGTGTACTTGTACAATGCATTTCTTTGGGGCACCCCATCTTCATGTTCATATGTGCAATGAAAATAAATCCTTGGAAGTATGGTCATCACTATCTCATCTGTCATGAGAAATAAACCACACAACACGCAAGATGGGCAGTATCAAACCAATCAACAAGTCTCATTTATGCATAGTCATTAAATTTTCAAAACATTTTGTATCTTTGTGGTGGGAAGGTTTGGTGTTACTCAAAAGCTGAAAGTACCTGTATTCATGAAACCCTAAAAATAAATAAAGCAGAACTATTTTGTGACCAAATTGGCAATAACTGGGTAAAATGCATGACTTTGTAAAAATCATCAAATGAATGGCAGGGTTTGGAGCTTGTGAAATTACCTAGATTGTGCAGACTAATCAAGGACAGTGATGGACAAAGCAGCTTTCTGTTGGCAGAATGTCAAGAGAGGGGTTGACTAGATGCCCTCAGCTCTTCAAACTCTATTCTATACTTACATGCACATGTGAATGGAAAGGAAGGTCCAGAAGCCTCTTTCTTTTCCCAGGAACACAATTATTGTACAGTACTTGTACTTGCCTGAAGAACTGTGGATGGATGCTCGTAACATTGTACAGGAGGCAGCAACAAAAATCATCGCAAAGAAAGGGAAATGCAAGAAAGCAAAGTGGCTGTCCAACAAGGCCTTCCATATAGCAGAGAAGAGAAGGGAAATAAAATGCAAGGGAGATAGGGAGAGGTACAGAATATTGAATGCAGGCTTCCTAAGAAGAGCAAGGAGAGACAAGAGGGCCTTCTTTAATGAACAGTGCAAAGATATAGAGGAAAATAATAGAAAGGGACAAACCAGAGATGTGTTCAAGAGAATTTGAGATTGAAAGGAACCTTTTGTGCAAAGATGGACATGATAAAGGACAAAAATGGTAGGGACCTAACAGAAGCAGAAGTCATCAAGAAGAGGTGGCAAGAATACACACAGGAATTATATCAGAAAGATTTGGATATCCTGGACAACCCAGACAATATAGTTGCTGACCTTGAGCCAGACATCCTGGAGAGTGAAGTCAAGTCAGCCTTAGAAAGCATGGCTAACAACAAGGCCAGTGGAGGTGATGGCATTCCAGTGGAACTATTAAAAACTTAAAAGATGATGCTGTTAAGGTGCTACACACAATATGC